TTCTACAACATGCGACAAAATATGCCATAAAAAATTGTACGTTTATTTTATCAATATATTCACATATTTCAGGTGGTGGCATTACGCAAAGAGTAAAGTAGTGCTACAGCTACGATCGCACGTCACAATTAATTTGCGTTTAGATACACGCTTATTATAAATACGATTACTAGTAATAAACTCTAGATTAAATAGAAAAAATCTGTATAAAAAATATTGCCGTGATAAATAAAAAATTAAATGATTTTATATTATCACAATACATTTGTCGAATTGCAGAGCCGTGCAATAAACGTGTTGTGTTTTAACAATATTATGTTTAGGCGAGTGTATCCGAATGTTATTATTGGCATTTTGTAAAAGATTACATATTCTTTATGGGCATATAATTTGCTTTACTTTACGATAGTTTGTTTTAAATACCTGTGTCGCGCATTTTGAGAGTATTTTTTCACCATAGGGGTCATCCATAAATTACGTCACACTCTAGGGGGTCGACGAAGTGTGTCATTAGAACAATATTTAGTAGAATAATATAGATAAATAGGTGACAGGAAGGGAGGGGGATGGGGGTTAAAAATCCTCATTTTTGAGTGACGTAATTTATGCCCCTGCCTAATTTATGGCCCCATATCTAGTCAATACAACATTGATATCTGATAAATTTTACATCATATACTTATATATATATAATGAAACACCTAAACGTATTTTTACGTTTATATACCTACTCCTTTAGATATTTAGATAATAGAAATGTTGAAGAATTAATTTATGCAACATTGTTACGGTGCTTCTCGCTTCATTTTCAGGTATATAATTTGTGATATTGCAAAGACATGTCTAAAAGCTTTAGTATAATCCACAGTATGTCAATTAACATGAATATATATTTTTTGGGCACAGCTCTATATAAATTTCGGCCATGTCATTTCTGCACTCAGTTTTGAATTTAATTATCATCTGATTAAGGTTTAGCCTTTGGAGAAATTGTCTGTTTCTAATCTTGTCCGGTAGATTGTGTTTTGCTTTAAATCATATTTGTATTTTAATGAATAATAAATGATTATATTAATATTTCAATATGTAATTGAAGAGAAAATCTTCGTCTTCTATTAATAATACTAAACAGGTAGTCGATTCTGCGAATGTTATCGCAATTATAGCGTGTCGCTGGCGTTTAAATATCAGCTTTTTGGTAATTTTAGTTATGATACCACCATAAAATAATCAGTGATTTCACCCCGGTTTCTGAATTGAGAATTTAATGTTAAGCACACCTCAAACCGTACTTAAACCATCTTAATTGTTTTCGTCTCTGAATTTACTTTTTTTATTTATTACTTGACAGCTGTTTGATAATACTACGACTTTTTGACATGTGAAACATAAAAAAATAAAGTTATTGAGAATAATCAGTTGAGATTTAGTACTTTTCTCAATTGAGAAACCGGTCGTTAGACGTTATTGCACTAATAAAATGATAGATGGCGTTAGGTAAATACTGTAAAATGAAAATGCAATTATTTAAACGCCATTAAAGTTAAATTATTTCTTTAGCAGTCCAGATGCCAAACGTAGAGAATTTTGTGTGTTGACGTTTAAGCCTACTCTTAAATATCATAAATATTTAATGTTAACTTTAGTATAAATACTACAAATGTTTGCGCACGAATTAAAGAAATATCATAATAGCCTGATACAAATACGCGAAAAACGGAAATAATTCGATATAAGCCTGGAATATTTTTAATCAGGGTTGTGAGCCAATTACAAGAGACTATATTTAAGAATCCATCTCATTTTAGCTACGGAAGGTATAAAAAAACATCAAGTCAAAAAACCTTCATTTCCTTCACGCAAAATTACTAACACGACTTTTTTCACAAATTTTGGTTTTATTTATCATAACGACAATGAAAATTACTGAAATCCAACTAAAAAATTTACAGGAAATAGTGATTTTTATTAAACTTTATTTTTTACTTGTTTGTAGTAGTAGTAGTTTAATATGATAAAACTTTTATTAAAGTATTTCTGAGTGGATTTTAATGATATTTAATGTGTTTAACTCAAAAGTTTGCTGCATATATTGCGTGTTATATACCAATATTCCACGGGTATATTGGTATGCAATATTCCCATGGAAATTTTCATTGGATTCAAAGCAAAATATACTTAATGCAATATAGTAATATCGATTGAAGTCGTATTTCATTGTTAAGATTATTGATTTTTTTTTTTGCAAATATTTTTTAAATATTTAAGTCCGTGTTTTTAGAAGAGTTTCCAAATATAATATTAGGAAAATTTATGTACTTCATGGAAGTAACATTAGTAACAGCGTGAAAATACGTTAGAAGTCACCTTATATGTATTTTGCTTATCATGCCATTGAGAAATTAAAGGATTTTTTTTTTTACTAATAATCCGAAAGAAAATGTCGATGGATTAATTCATATATTAAAAAGGAAATATATGATACCCTCATAATAAAAAAACAGCTGTTATGTTTTAATGTTTGATCTTCATACTGAAAGTTGGTATTTGTATCAGGCTATAATGGCTGGTCTATCTATATCTTCAGGCATCGCATCCCAGGCGGGTCATTGTACCAAATAATTTCCGTTCATCGACCATGCTGTAGGTATATTATCATGAGATATCAGTAAAACAATACACTCTGCAGTTGTCCATAGTGACAAATCATTTTAGTTATAAATACGTACATAGTTTAATTCCGCCGTACGTTTTCCGTGAACAACTATCATCTTCGCATTTTTCTGAAAAATAAATTTTTCATCATTAGTATACGAGAAATGATAAAATTAGACATTTTTACGGTTAGTTGCACAAACGACCATTGAGGTTTAATGACGCTTTTAAGCTCTAATGAATGTCATATTTGTATGGGTAATGTCGCTTTAAACTAATGACAATTTTAATGGACGTTTGTGTATAAGGAAAATTCTTTGAAAAATTCTTTTTTTTTTATCTACATTTTCTAATTAGTGGGTATTAGGGGTGTAATGGAAAAAATATAAGTATATCATTGTACATATATAGTACAGATCATTATTGAAAAAATAATGATATAACTAAACACATTGCGGATAAAATTTATCATTTTAGAGACGCGTCCCAAGTGTAGGGCTACTTGGGTTCGCTACTATGGGCCTCACACCTCATGCTCACGATAGCTAATTTCTATGACTTCTTCTATATAAAAATAAAATTTGATTTACTACTCATACATTACTATGCAAAACACTAATATTATAGGTACTTAACTGAGCACAAGCGGAGCGCCCTTTTTTAAGAATAAAATATAGACGTATAAATAACGCTACAGTACAATAAAAATTAAAAAATAACATCACGTGTTATCTAGGCTCGAGAGGTTGATAGCTAAATGGGCTGAACTCAAATTGTATGTCAATCTATAGTGTGCCTCATTTAAAAGCAAATTAATTATTATTAATATTCTGATAGTAAATATTATATTATAATAACATTTTTGTCACACATCAACGGTAACAGATATATCCTATTAATATTATAAAGGCGAAAGTTTGTAAGTATGGATGTATGGATGTTTGTTACTCTTTCACGAAAAAACTACTGGACGGATTTGGATAAAACTTTACAGCAATATAGGTTATACATCAGAATAACACATAGGGTACTTTTTACTGGGAAAACTTCTCACTCCCACGGGATACCGACTTCCACGCGGACGAAGTCGCGGGCGTCCACTAGTAATAATATAAAACTTAGGTAAATAGTACAATTACAAAGTGCAAGTAGTCGAAATTATATAGATATGAGATTATAACGTACCTATACTTTAGCAGAATTGTAGTGTTTCACAAATAACCCTGTATATAGTCTACCTGTATATAGTAGCTCGGTGGCGTAGTGGATAAGCGCCGCGGCCCGAGATCGTTGTCGTTAAGCAACTTTCGCAAGGGTCGGTCACGGGTTGGGTGACCAAAAAAAAAAAGTATCTCGAGCTACTCCGTGCTTCGGAAGGCACGTTAAGCCGATTCTCCCGGCTGCATTTGCAGTCGTTAATACCCTCCAATCCGCATTGGGCCACCGTGGAGGGGCATGGCCCATCCTCCTCAGCCATAAGGAAGACCTGAGCCCCTGCAGTAGTGACGAAAAAAAGGGCTGGTGGTGATGATGATAGTGTACCTGTTAAGAGATTTCTCCTTGTAGGTAACTGGTTTCCTCTGTCGCCTGGAGCGCGGCGCCGCGTACTCGGCGTCCTGGCTGTCGCGCGACGCGGCGCTGGAACTGCGCGAGCCCCCCTCTTCCGCGCCCCTCTCCCCAACGCTGCCCCCCTCCCCACCGCCGCCCGCCACCGACCGTTCCGTCTTCACTCCGCCCTCCACCTCGACCGCGCTCTGTTCTTTCGCATCTTCTTTTTCTTCACTACAGAATGTTTGCAAAATAACGTAACCAGGATTGTAGTGATTATTTTGTGTATGAATTTCATTTATTCATTAAATATATGTAGAGATATGATATCGTGATAAAGTTTGAGACACCATAAGCTACCCTTTTTTTTTTTTGACGCTGAGAAATGCGTTACGCATACCCGCTTCATCCTGCGCGGGCTCCACGGGTGATGTGGGACTCCTCCTGTGGCTCCACCCCCGAAGGGGCTAGACAAGAAACAGAAGTTTACCCACTAAAACTCAGCGATGTCCCTCTCATGGTGGGCGATGCGCGGGATCGGCCCGAAATCCATACACCGCGCGGTTCGCCCCCATTTCGGCCCGCCCTTAAAAGGGCAGGTCCCACTCGGGTTGGGGGTACGCCTCAGAGACTTTCGAGACGGACCGGTGCGCGAACCGGCCAGCTGCCCCTGACTAGAGACCAGAGATGCGCAACTGTGCAATCTCCGGTCTCCTACCCAACCATAAGTTACCCTAATCTAATTTAATCTAGATATAATTTTTGTTCAGTTCGTAATGTTGCCTAAAAGAAATTTAGTAATAAGGTCCTCAATTGTGCGTTCACATTTATTGTATTTTATGTTTTTTGTCCATCGGTGTACAATAAAGAACTTTTCATTCATTCAGAACCTTTTTCCTTTTCTGTCGTTGAAAAAAGACCGAACGCAACTCACGTGTAGTTATATAAAAAAACAAATATTAAAAACAAGCCGGTATATGCTCGTGCATTTGCTTGAAGCTGTCAATTATTAAATACCAGTTGTTTTCCCGCGAATTCGCCTGCGTTAATTGTATATTTGGCTGTTTTGGGAAAAGTTTCATTATGATCATATTAAACAGAGCTCGGAATGATAATTATCTTGATAATATATATAATTATTTTTAAACAACATGTTTTTTTTTTCTGATAGAGACAAAATGTCTGATGGACCTACAAAAACAAAAATATTTTTAAAAGCCCCCTTTTATTATGTTTTTATTTCACTTTTTATTCAATGTCATTTTACAGGTACATATTATTTTGTTTATGTTTTATAATTGAAAACAACAAAAATCAAGTTTACTAAATTATAAATGCCTTTCTGTATTTTAAAAATCGTTGAAAGTAACTACAGATAATTACTCTTGATAATAACGTAACCTGATATTAAAATGTCTCGTGGGAATAATCAGTTATATTAAATTACGAGGCGTGACGTTACATTTTATTAAACTTCCTTGGCTGCTTGACAGTTATAGCAATAAATTACGTAATATCTTGGAAATGGTAACTTCTATGTAGTATTTTTTAATTGAAAATAAATTGTAGACGTATTTACTTTTTGTAAAATTAAGTTGCTATTGACAAGCAGTGGATTTAAAGAACCGAAATGCAGGCGGCCATAACGGAGCATCGGGTGACGTCACATTTTAATAAACTAAACCATAAACGTCTTCGCCGTGAGTGCAACCAGTACTCGTGTTTATTGCAAAGAGACGTCCCGGCTCGGATTGACACCTAACTGATTGTTTTCGTGGGATTTCTTTATTAAATAAAAGTTTTAAAATATTTTTACCAACAGTCAAGTAGTCGATTACGCTTTTTCAAAGTGTAGCAGGAACACATCTAAGTCACAATAATGGTCATTATCTAGACTACTCACGAGACTATGACGCCCGCGTCGGTGGTCCCGTTGGGGCTGGGCGCGTCGAACCTCATGTGTTTGCTCCTGCCGGGCGGCGGCGTGCCGCGGGACACGCGCTTGAGGCCCGCGCCCCCCTCCCCGCCCCCGTCGCCTGCGCCCCCCTCCCCGCCCCCTCCACCGCCGGCCCCGGCCCCGGCCTCGCTCGACCCCTCCAGCCGCATCTTGGCCACCACCACTTTAAGGACGCGTCCGCTGGTGCTACATTCAACAGTCTGGATGTAATGCTGCTATCTCGTAACCAGCACTTATAAATTGCTAATAAAACTAGAGTCTTTTTGAATTTGAGGACACTCTTGAGATATATACTATAATCCATTATATTGACGTCCGAATTGGAGAATAAAGAGTATTATTTTTACTAAAATATCCTGTGAAAATACTTTTGTAGTTTTTGTGTTGCAGTGTACCTCTATTAAGAGCGAGATTGCATGAAATTTTGTTGTTGTTGATTTTACATCTTAACATAACGCATTACTCTATATTTCAAGGCTAGTAAAACTTATATTTCATTGACTTTAGCTTGCTCTTTTCGGCGCAACTGAATTCGACTAATATACATGTCACTGTACATAGAATTAGTTAACTTTAAAACATCTCTATCACCAAGAAGTATTAATAATAAGAAGTATTATTACTCATTATTTTGACGTCTCCCCTCGTAGTAAAACGCATAACATAAAAAACTCGAGAACGTTCTGTCTACATCCAAATGTCACTTTTCTCAGATGCGCCTTTACATATCTCACATATCAGAGGAAAGTGACATTTGGCCCATAAATTTCGGAGAAAAGTGACATTTGGTGTAGACAAAGCGTTTTTCATGCTACTGTTTTAGTTTCTTTTAATATAGTCAATTACTCCGTATCAAGTGAACGTACCTGTGTCGTCGTTGTGTGAGTCGCGGCGAGTAGTGTTGCGACGAGCGATTTTTCGGCGAGTGTTGTAATGGCGAGTGTTGCAGTGGCGAGTGTTGCAATGGCGAGTGTTGCAGCGGTGAGTATGTCTGCGGCGGAGATGACGTACGTTTGCGTCGACGCACCGTCGGGGAGAACTCGCATGCTCCCTCCGTCGCCGAGTTTACCTTCAACATTTATAATAATTGCTCGACACCAAGTGTTGCGATAAGTTTTTTTGGGAACCTTACCTTTACCTCCGATTTAATAATATCAATTAATTGATGTAATACTGTGAACTTTGAGCCGATAAATTTATTGCGACAGAACATGGCCATGTCGTTGCAACGCATAGGAATAGAATGAATCTGGCAAATTAATGAATCGAATAATCACGATATTTGTTTTATATAGTATAAGAGTGGGAAGGTCAGCGCCCCCCGCGTGGGTGTGTTACCTGAGTATTGGCGGCGGGTGCGGGGGCGGGGGCGGGGGAGGGCTCCCTCGTGGTGGAGTCCGGCTCCGGGGCGCCGCGCGCGCGGGGCCGCGGCACCTGCGGCATGCCAACACAATACAACTTGAATGGTGATACCATCTATATCCAAAGGCGTCGCCAAAAGACAGAAGAGAGGGGCAGCTGCCCTCCCCTAGATTCTAAAAAGTTGCCTAGTGTGAAGCGACCAAAGTTTGACTTCATTTGCTTGACCGATCATTCATGTACGTAGCATGCGTACGGGAATATAGGTGTAGACAACTTTTTTTCCTATATTTTTATTTTATAAATATACATGAAATATATGTATAAAAAATATTCATATATAATATTAAAATAAATTTAATTTTCATAATTTCCCGCGAACACATAACTTCTGTAATGGCGTCGCTATGACGTCACGACCCTTTCCAACTAATATCGTTCCATGACTATTCATGGTCGAATTCTCTAAACTTTGATATGAGTAATAGGGGCGTGACGTCACGTGACACCGAGTATAAAATATTCGTTTTTTTTTTTATAATAAATTGATGCATTATTTTAAATATAATAAACACAAAAGTGGGAATATCGGTAATAGTATATTAAACGCTACCATAAAAAAAATATGATGTATTTATTAGCGTTTACTATCTACACTCGTATGCATTTTTTAATTGAGAATTCTATTTAAACCAATTCTATTCCTAATATTCCGTACGTCCCCTACTCTATGCTGTATGCTATTGTTAAAGCGGAAGGGGAGTGGTGTACATTCAAACCTCCCAAATTATTTTTACTCTATTTTACTAATAATGTTGTAAATTATTGACGAGTTTCATTTATTCTACAGTCAAGAGCTCGTTTAATTTTTTAATTTTGACTCAATCCTATTGATGTAAGGCTGATACTACAAGTAAAAAGCTTCATTTGCTCTACACTTTACCTAGAATTCATACTTAGTTCAACTTCTTTGTCACTGTTTCTGTTTTAGAAAAGAGAAAAATCAAAGTGTCTATAATTTACGGTAAACATATGAATCTGTTAATGTAAATTACCTTAGGATAAGTGGGTACATCCAACAACCAGCTGGGTCCCTCCAAGGGATTCTCTGTTCTACTTCTGTAACAAGCATAGTGAAAACACCATTAATATATTATTTTTCTGTCAATAAGTGTGACATAAGCTTACTATTAACATTACCTAGGCGGTGGGGTCACTATAACAGCGTCGTCTTCAGTCTCTAAATCTTCTGCAACTGCATCCAATCTTCCACTGTAATTTACTTTACATTATAACATCTTATTATGTAGTCGATGTAAATTTTTGTAAAATTATTACATAAAAACACCCCATATCATGGATTCTTTTTCCAGTAATGTCTCATTCATTAGTAAATTAAAAACCTCCAAATGAATGTATATATTTTTACATTCCTTGAAAGTGACGAATTATACCATAAAACAGAATTACTTAGCGATTGAATGTTTTGGTATCGTAAGATTGAACTACATATACAAAATAAGAAAAGGCTGTGATTAAAAATAAATTCAAGTGACAACTTTATAACAAAATGAACATAGAATAAATTAGATTAATTTTAGAATAAAAAATAATAATAAAGACTTAAGAGAGACTTGAGAGCTTATTTAAATAAGAGCTTAGATAAATAAGCTCTTACTTATACACTTTATAATTTAATTTATAACGTTAAATTAAATTATAAAGTGTGCAAAGATAATAGATTTTATAATTATACTGTTATTTAAATTAAAAAAACCTCCTATAAATTATTAACGTGTAATTTACTGAGAAAAATAAAATTAACAATGCAACTCCATACTTATCCAGTCCCGAAGCTTAGTTGTCAGAGTATTATCACAGATTATATTCCTTGATTGTCGCATTGTATGGTGCCATATTTGAGTATTGTTTAAGTATGAGAGGCGTTATCTAGTTGTAATGTTAATAGAAGTTTTTTCAGATATAAATCGATTTTAATGAAGAGTTAACTAAAATCTCTTTGAATTTGGCGCTCAATTGTTACAGTTCTGTAATTGTACGTGCATGATGTCACTTATAATGATGAATTACTATTTAATAAATTTAATATTATACTTACGATACTTCAAAATTATCTTCAGTTACATCTGGCGATTCTTCTAATGTTCTTTCATTGCTGTCTGAAATAATAAATCATATATGTCACCTCAAAGGGGCCCAAAGGGAATCGTTTGTGATAAAACTTATGTAGGTATAGACCTAGGCTCCACTATGCACTTCACATTTATAACACAAAAAATATGCAAGATCAAGTCGGAATAGACTAAATTAAAAATATTTAAAAAAAAACTATCTATTGAAATGTGACGTCACGGTTGGAAAGGTCATGTGATTGCTTGTTTCTGTGGGATAATTTAAATTAATGGATTAAATTAATAACACATTTTGAAGAAAAATAAAAGTGATAGTGATTTAATAAATCATAGAAAGATTTTAAATATTTTCCGAAAACAATGAAGTTGCCAATCACTTGTTCTTTAGAGATTTTAATTTGAAGTTAGTTTTAGTTTTATGCAAAAAACAAGTGTGGTATTTAAATGTCGCCCTATGAAGCCAATCAAATTATATGACAGTGCAGAGATAAGGTAATAAGGAATTGAAACCCTACCTTCAAGTTCTAAATCGTCTGTACTATCATCTACATTACTGGTATCCTCAGTCTCTACATTGTTCCCAGGTAAATCATTAGCATCTATCCTAGTAAGTGGTATATACACATCTGGAAACAATATTAAATATACACAATGACATAATAAATAAACACAATACATTTAATTCAGACATATCCATAATATTAATATAGAAATCTACTATTAATAAGTTGAAAAATATGTAATCGCCAACAAAGCAAGTACACATATACTATTTAAATTATGCGCTTCGGCTATATTCATTAAGCTTCGCCAATCCTTATGTATTTTAAAGATATCTATATAGAGTTGTTATTACATAATTAATCATTTTGCTTAAATTTTGATTAGGTCAGCCAATTTAAAAATAAAGTATACTGTGTTTCTTGCCATCAGCTCATACCAAAATGAAAACCCCAGATAAAGAAAATCGAATTAAGATAAATCGGTTGTACTAACGAAATAAGTTTCTGATACCAGTAAGTATAACAGTTTTTTTAATAAAACAAAATTCATCAATTAATATAAATTTATCAATTAATCACAATCTGATATTATTCTATACCCGACGTTTCAGAGTCAGAATCATTACTGTAGCTGCTGGAACCAATGTTTTAGTATCTATATTCAAATAAGGTAATTTGGCGTATTACAACTCTATACAATTCTTAATACTGAAATATTGCGTGCTGTCACTTCCATCAAAGTCGAGGTACTGACGGGTTTTGGCCGGCTAAAACGACGATCACACATTGATTTCTTGATCGTAAACACGAAATATATCGAAGCGCATAATTTAAATAGTATATGTGTACAAGTATTGTATAACACCATAACGATAAGTAACTTGACAGTTATTTAGTAACAGGATTCGAAAATCATGCAATAAAAATCTAAAATTTCTTTAAAAATTGATTTTCCAAATATTTTATACAAAGACCTGAAATACAAACGTAAATTTGAAGCCACAAAAATTATGATATCTTTAAAACCTGTGAAATATCCACATACGCAACAAATGATCTGATTTGATTTATCATCAGTGTATGTTGCAATGAGATTGAGTGTGGAAGTTGCTAAATATTATATGCTAAATATTATAAATAAAATTCATCTTCACGTGTTTTTTTTGCAACTCTTTGATCCTCTCGCCCTCTGGTTAATACATTGTAAGGTTTCTTTCACCAGCTCCAACCTTACCCCAATGGTCACTTTCATTTTCGAGACATAATATTTAAATTTTTGTACTAACTTCATAACAGGATATTCTAATGTTATATAGATATTCCAGTCAATGAAATATCTGTGATATCCCTTTATGTTGTTAACCTAATTATATTGAATAATGATTTAATTAGTAACCTTGTAACATATGCATTGGAACCGCTCTCCCTGTAATACTTCTGTTCTGGTGTGGACTTCTAGATGTAGACCCTGAAATAGTATACACTTTATAACAAAGTTATCTAAAGCTTTAATTACACAAAACCCACTATCAACTATTATAAGATGATTATCAATTTCTAGAGCTTCATAATCATTATATTTTAGTGCTTACAATAATTTATTTTGCAAAATAACTACAATTTAAAGATGTGCAAAGTATATTTCACTATGTCTCAAATAAAGAAAGTAAACTGCAGTACTTTACTTTTGTTGTTTCTTACTTTGATTACTAGTATTAAAAATAGCCCTGCTGAGTGACACAACGGGCTGAATGGACTGGCCACCCATCATCATTGGTGGCACTCGATGAACTCTCTCTGTATTGGAATGTCCACTGATATTGGTCCACCTAGGAGTCTCGTTTTCTAGTTCCTGTCGGTCCCTCATGTATGTTTTCGCGAGTTCAATGGTCCGTGCAACAGCACCTGATGCTTGAACAAGGTGGGATAGGGCCTCTTCACTAGCAGTTTGTAATGCAGCATCGAGTTTACGAGCATGTGCTGCACCACCACTTCTCATTCTCTATAAAAAAATGGTATTTACAGGTACATTGCCAAAACCAGTTTAAATCTACTATTATATTCTCCATTTATTATTTGAGGCTGACATAAAGGTTTTGACTCATTGCAAATGAAAATATTTTCAATTAAGTTTCAACAGTTTGGAAGACTTACATTTTGGATAAAGTATTAAAAAAAAACTATTCTTTTTGTTTCAATCAATAGTATTTTTATCAAAATAACACAAAAAATTATAAACCTGCCAAATTGTTCCAAATGAAATGTAGCCTTCTTTTCTACATAATTTAATTTTAAAATTTATGTAGCTCAAAAATTGCATAATACATTGTTATTATTATTTTTTTTTATAAAGGATACCTTTCTTTAGCTATTAAAGTCTTTGAATGTGTATTGAGTCACATTGTCAATTTTATTTTTCTTAGTAAAATATATGTTAATAATAAGGGACCAATTTGCAATTGCATAAAAAATTCAATACGGGGTTTTGCTGTTATGTTTAATATACTATTACAGATAATTACACTTTTATGTTTATTATATTGCTTAAATTAATTATTAGCAAACAATCATTTTATACTTGTTTGTTACATGACCACAAACAGCGAGTAACGACATGCCCCTATTACTCATATCAAAGCTATGAGAATTCAACTATGAGCATACATACATGCAGAGGGTTGTGATGTCATTCATAGCAATGCCATTACAGAAGTGATATGTTCATAGGAAATTATGAAAAAAAAAATTATTTTTAGATTTTAACTTACTGTATGAATTATACCTTATTCAATATTTTGAGGTATATTTCATGTGGATATATAAAATAAAAATATAAAGTCTACACCCCTATTGTGTATGCTTAGAAAGTTCATATATTTTAAAGATTATTCACTAAATATTTTTGCTAAATAATTATTAACAATATGCACTGTATACTATAGTTTTATTTTTTCCACTGAAAATCTCGTTTGATGCCCCACTAATGATATTATGTTATGTAACTTAAAGTATGTCAGCACGGAATTGAAAGAAGTATCCTGGATGTTAAACTTAGAGATAGGCTACGTCTTCAGGATATAAGGAGGAGGACAGGTGTGGTAGATGTAATCCATAAAGTGAAGACCTTGAAATGGAAGCGGACAGGACATATGATGAGATCAACAAAACCAAAATGGGCAAAAGATATCACAGAATGGTACCGTCGTGACGGACAACGGAAAAGAGGTAGGCAGATAAAGAGATGGGAAGACGACCTACCAAAGGGATGGAGAAGAGCAGCCAGAGATAGAGGGGAATGGAGCTGGAGGAGGCTTTTGTCAAAGGACAACCTGGCGGTACAGATGCCGATGTGGGTGGAAAAAACTAAATTGTAACTATAATTGATATACAAAGTCAGAGAATAAAGGCTATTTTTATTTATTTATTTTATAATGATGTTATGTCTTCAGACTCGCCAGTAATGCTGTTTATTTAAACAACTGAATTTTGACATTGTTTTAGGTACATAATAAAGGTTCAATTTACATCATATATATTTTTTTTATTAAGCACTCATACTATTTTTCAAACAGTTTTTAGAAAGTAGTCTGATTATTTAGGGAGGTGGTAGGTTTTTAATGTAAACCACAATTCAGTCATAAAACCTATATATTATCTTTGCACTCATCATAATTTAAAAAATATTAAATTTTTGTTTATTTGCCTACCATAAACTACCATCAGTTCAAAGTTTGCGAGTCTTGTCTGAGGAGATCTACCAAAACAAACCCTTACAACAATAACAACAACAATAATTTCCACATTTACAGACAGAACTAACTGTAACTTTAGGTTTTGCAGTAATGTGGGTTTAGTTTTAATCGGCTAATTACTGGATCAAAGTTGATCAAAGGATTCTTACAACTATATAGCTCAAAAATCATTTTTCTCAATTTCCTTATGTAGGGTAGTTTTAAGTTAGATATTAAAATACTGGTTCCATCATATCTATAAATAATTAACAACATAAAACCATAAATAGTTATCATATTTGATCATAAGTACATTCACTGGTTCAATCTATTAGTTTTCAAATTATTATTTGAGGGATAGTTTTCATCCTTGAAGAATAGTACAATTTGCGACAAAGGCAGGTTTGAAGTGGATTCGATTTTACTTGAAATCAATGCAGTTTTACAGATTTAGGGGATAAGCCACTAATTCTAAGTTATGATTGGACCAACTAGTAGAACAGCAATATATTATGACAACATAAAAAGTAGTAAATACGTACACTTATTTTCAGCCTTAGCTCGTTAATTTCCTTCATTAATTCTAGCTTTTCATTTTCCCTCTGTGCCGCAGTCATCTTCCAATATTGCACCTTCTGGACCAATTCATTGTTTTTTTCCCGAAGATCTTTGATTTCATCCTCAGGAGTTGACATTGCAAATACTCAATGCACGTATCGCGGTATCTCCAAAAAGCACAAAATACCGCGTTTGTAAATTTTAAAGTGAAACGACGTGGTCAAATTTACTTTGAATTAGGATCTACATAGAGTCAAGGCACTATATTTCCCTATATTATTTTTCTAATATCAATCTATGATTTTCGCAGATGTCAAACAAAAGGAAGTCAAGTTCAAAGAGAAACGCCAAAAACGCATAGGTACGAACGGAACGCAGTTTACTTTAGTGTTGTATGGAATTGATTATGATTAATCGATAAGAAAAAATTAACAGTCGATTATTTCTTAAAACTTTAGCAATAGATGTATAAGCCGTTTATGCATGTATTTAGTTTAATTATTAACACAAATAAAATGCTTATAAAATAATGTATTTATAGTACCAAAAAAGAGATTATAAGAAGATAAAAAACATACCAAAATTTAGAAGATAGAAATGTTTGATTTTGTCTATTCACGGTGAATATGTCTTTACAGTAGGAGGCTTTTTTATTTTTAGAATATTAAACTATGGTCCGTTTATAAAGCGGTTTTACTTACCCTCAGTACCTCCTAGGACGCAAGTACATCGGCTTGTTCAATATGAATAGTTTAAAACGTTAGTTTAGTACCTACTTACTTTGCTTCGATGGCTTAGCAAACCTCTTTGGTCCCGGAACTCCCGATGAATGAATGAACGGATCTTCGTTTTATTTTAACAAATACAAATTGACCGTTTCTTACTAAATGCATACATGCATGCGTTCATACTAGATATGCAACGAATATTCGGTTAGATTAGATATGCTTTTGTTATATTCGGCCCAATACTGAATATGTCCATACTATTCGGCCGAACACCGAATACTTAATTACCTAATAATTATATTTTGTTGTTATTCGTAAAATAAAAGGTATAGTCTAATTTAAAATAATATTATTTGAATATTTCTCATAATCAAGAACAGATAGTACACAATCATCTTGTACATTACAAAATTTTATGTTTTTTATGTATTTGAATTGTTGTCGTAATCAAAGTTTAGAATCGAAAGGTTATGGTGTAAAAATATTAATTTTTCTGCGTTATCAGGGAGTAGTTTACTTCTTTTTTTCACGTAGACTGGCCCAGTTTTAGAGAAAAAACGCTCAGAACGCTTAGTGTGAGTTTTTTGATGTTTACGTTCACTGTCGATCGTGAGCGCGTTAAGATTTTAGTATGGAATCTAGTACAGCGCCCCTAGCGGTAACTACCGAGAACTACAAATCTCCATACAAATTCTTAACGCGCTCACTAGTGAACGCGTTAGCGTAAAACTTACACTTACCACTCTGAATAAACACAACTTCCTGGCGTCGAAAAATATTTTGCTGCAATCTTGTTCAAAAACAGATATTTATGTTTTATTGCTCGCCATCACGTATACGAATTGTCATGCCGTGATATGTTATTAATATTTAAAAAAAAAGTTTTTTTTTTGTCACAAAGATGCATTTTTTTTCTATTGGCGTGTCTCTATGAGCTACATTTTTCTGCTATCACTTCTTCTAAGCAATTCATAAAAGTTGAGTGAATAGTCTGGCTTAGACTTTGCTCTTCAGTTTTCATCTTCTTAGCCAAAGTAGGGAACGAATTCACGCTAACGTCGTTGTTTTCTTCACAACTCATCTTTAGACTATCGATCACGACACTTTTCGGGTCACTTTCATCAGCAAAGTAGATTCGAAGGTTGACCATATAGGTGATTTCTTTTAAGAGGCCATAATCGATTATTATTTTTATTTATTACTATAAAAGTAGGTAGGTAATTATTTTATTTTTATTTGTGGTATCTTTCACAATTTCACTTACTTATGCAGAGTGAAATGCAGAGTGAACTATAAACTGTACTTAACGTATTTACGATATGCACGATATTTTTGGATAATCATCAGCCCTTTTACGTCCCCACTGCAGGGGCTCAGGCCTTCCTTATGGATGGTTAAGGAGGATGGGCCATGACCCTCCACGCTGGCCCAATGCGGATTGGAGGGTATTAACGACTGCAAATGCAGCCGGGACCAACGGCTTAACGTGCCTTCCGAAGCACGGAGTAGCTCGAGATAATAATTTTTTGGTCACCCATCCCGTGACCGACCCTTGCGAAAATTGCTTAACGACAACGATCGCGGGCCGCGGCGCTTATCCACTACGCCACCGAGCTTAATAATATTTAATAATCATTGACATGACTCTCTTATTATCAATTGTTAATCGTTTACTAGAAATATTATAATCGATTAATTGATGTGTGTCATAATCGAATCAGCACATCATTAGTTTACTTTAAACAGTGTCGAACGCGAATGATCAAAAATTTAGATTCGATCACAACCTAAAATCGAGTGATAGAATCATGAATCTGTAAAGGACTCTTTTGATCCATACCTACATTATTTCTATTATCTACACCTTTAATCAAACAGTGATGCAACAAGCAAAATATCTGGCCGTTGATCGACGTTGCCAGTCAGCGTTGGCAACGTCGGCCGCTGCAATATGCAACAGATACCAACCCAGATAGCAATTTAAACTTGCAACAAGTTTGATACATCAAAAAAGAAGACTTGCGCCAAGTTTGTCATGACAACTGCAGCAACTTACAGCAAGTTTAAATCAAACTTTCTAGTTTCATTGTGACAAACTTGCACAACTTTTGACGTATCAAAGGTAGTGCAAGTGTACCAAGGAAAATTATTATTACCACTACCGTAGTAATAATAATAATATTCCTAGGCACTGATTCGAAAACCTAGCAGGTATTCAGGTACTCGAGTACCTGGAATACAGATTTCGAGGCAAATATTACTTAAAGTTTACTAAGTTTTTATTAATTCTTGATCATTCAAAACTTTTGGTCCAAAAGCGATAGCGACTTTAATCTCAGACCACAGCACAGAGCGTAGCCTAAGAGCCAAAGTAATTAACTGGAACGGTTGGTTTCGAGCCCCTTATTAAGATCACATTAAATGGCATATTATTTATACAATCTAACAATATAAACTGATACCGCGATGCATTAAATGAACAGCGCCATCTAGTTTCCACACTTAGAATTATTCGGGTACCTATGAAGATGATGGGTGTGTTAGATATAAGTATCTTTGTCATAACAATATTCAAACAAACAAAATTGCAGCGACATTGTCACAAACTTGCCTCATATATTTGACGCAGCAATTTAGAATCTAAGAAAAATCAAACTTGCCCCAAGTAAGCATGTTATCTGGGAAAAATATGACGTGCGTAAACGAGACAATGATTTATCAATGAAACGGGTGCGATTTTTACGTTAGCCTAAGCGCAAGCAATAGTAGTCTTATGGGTGGCAGAGCGGCAATGTCCATGATTGTACGTAGTACTCGATACATAAGTTAAGTGCTAGATGGTATCTCAAAAATGCAACATTGCTAGGGATATCGAAAAAAAAACCCTAAACATATTAAAAAGAATATAATAAGAAAAAACACAACGCATGTACCATTTTTTTTTATCATAAAAATATAACTTAAATAAAGCCATTCTTCTTTACTCACAGAATCTTCTGATTTTAAATTTTTCATGTAGGATCGTGCATATACAATAAACAATAAAAGATTGAAATATCCAGATTTCTTATTTATTTTTTTAACGTACAGTCGTCTTTCCGTCTTTCATCTTTGTATTGCTCCATATGATATTTTCTTTGACCTTATCTATAAATTTCTAACTATGATCAGAAAATAAATCAAAAATTCTAAGTTTCGAACTTTTTATCTTTCATTTCAAGTCTGATCCTATGCAAGTGCTTCCTAAACTTTTCATGTCCAATTCTAATTCTGTTTAACGTGGTTATAAATTTTCTTTATGGACTTTTCAGGTTATGATGCCACGGTTTCCTGTGTATATTATCATATATCTTGCAGTACCAGGTTTCTTTTGTCTTTTTGAAACATTCCAGTTATTAAACATCTTTTCCTTTAAACAGCAATACAGAACCCTGTAGGGTATTAAAGCTGGAGCATAAATGGGTATTGTTCTATTGAATTTCATTAATGAGTCCGCAATTTCGTTTCCTGTGATTCCGGAATGTGAAGGTACCCATAAGATTTAAATAGTTTTCCCGACAATTTAAGTTTTAAATATAATTTCGGTAACATATTTTTTAGGTGTTGCAATGCTTAATATATCGCATAAGCTTCAGCCGTAAAAATTGAAGAATTGTCATGTAGACGAAAACTCGTCCCATTTTCAGATAAAAGTCGTAGAATGCAGCATTTTAGTTTTTTAGTCGTCTGTACGTAATCTTTACGTAATTTATTGTCACTTTTGAAGGCATGTCGTCGTGTCAAAAGTCGATCTTAATTATTAGATATTTTAAATCGATATAGAGTGTCCATGTCATGTTTATATATCAAAATAGAATGGAATAGACATTTAATAAACATTAAAAAACACATGTTTATAAGAATATTGTTATTGATATATTTGTTGGACTATTTTGAAAATTACACGATAATTGAAAATTGATCCAAATAATATCAACATTTTTATCAAAAATAAATTTATTATTTACTATTTTATTTATCTCATATCTATACATATAGTCTGTCTTTATATGATTCTGAGGGTCTCCATTTAAATCTCATAATCAAGGACATTTTCGTCGGATTGTTTCCAGTTGTTACAAACTTAATATCAATCATAATGGCTAATGGCTTTATTTTAATGAATTCCTATCAAATTGTACCCTATTTAAAGGCAAATAAATATCTATTCTATTCTATTCTATTCTAGGAAAACTAGTCAAGAAAAAAGAAATACTTTTAATTGTATTAATTAAATAAAATGAGATAGATTATCATACAAATTGTAAGACAAAATACGACTGCCAAAAACTAACTGAAATTAAAGAAAAAAAAAACAAGATATTAATACGCGGTTGCCTAGAAAAATCACTTTATAGCAATAAGGCCTTCGTTTGTACTGTTTATGGTTTATTTATAATTTAGTTTTTGGTGTACTTACCAATAGTACATCAAAAACTGTAGTAATCATGCAATTTTCATAAGATTCCGTATTTTTCATACTGAAGAATATAGAAACCACAAGCGTTTTAATCAACAAAGAAGTAAACAAAAAATTGTCTTAATAGGCTAAGATCCCTTTGCCTTAAACGAAATTTCTATTATTTGTAGTTGGCGGCAAGATTGACGGTTGTTTTCATAAATAATTTATCACACTACCCACATTTTAGTAATTTAATATTTTATGCAGTTTATCAAAAAGTTGGTAAGCAAGGAAAATAGTTTGTCAGGATAAATCAAAAGGTACTGAAATTTAATCACTGCAAGTATCGATGGTGATAGTGGATGGAAACGTCTTTAATATTTTCTAAAATATAATTATTCTTGATTAATTACTCAGAGCCGCAGAATCATAAATTTTACAATGTCGGGATCATATTGGCAGCATGAGTTTATGGAATGGAATCAGCGAGTATCACATCTGCTGCAGTCAGGTGAATGCTGTGACTGCACATTCTTAGTAGGTTCAGAACCGAACCGATCTAGGCTTAAAGCCCATAAAGTTATCTTAGCGGCTGCATCTCCTGTGTTCATGGCTATGTTTTACGGCAGTATGGCCGAGAAAGGCCCTATAGAAATTTTGGATTTACAACCTGAAGATTTCGAAACAATTTTACAGTAAGTAATAAACTAACATAATCCTAAATATAACTATAGTTGCAGACGATTACACACACGAATTTGCACATATTTAATTGTTCAATTACTTGCAGGTACATTTACACAAAAAATGCTTCATTTTGTTCTGTCGAGAAAACCTTCTCAGTGTATTATGGTGCTAAAAAGTATATGTTACAATCTTTAGAGAAAGAATGTCTTTTGTTTATATCCCTTAATATTAACCCACAAAATATTTGTCGCGTTTATAAATTTGCACGGTTTAACGACGAAATACAGCTATTGGACCAATGTGTACAGGTATTTATAAAATATAGTTTCGTAATACCAAATATATTTCCTCGATCTGATGTTTGGATGATAATAGTGAAACTGCAATATAAACTCGTACCACAATTGCAGATATTAACGACCAAAACAAAAGAAGTCGTACACAATTGGAGTTTAGAGCAGGATGATATCGGCATTCTATTGACTCTGCTCTCATATGAATCCCTCAATATTGGTAGTGAGTTGGATTTATTTCAAGCTGTTGAGAAATATTTTAATACCTACACTCCTAGAAAGAGGATTTTGGACAGCTATGACTCGCTCATAAGGAAAACGAAAAAATGTCCACATGGGGGGGTAAGTTGTTATTTTTTTTTAAAGATAAATAAACTGGTAATAAATAATAAAGATACAACATTTCAATATGGCTATAATATTTTTACGTAACTGCCTAAAAAAGAGTATAATGTGTTTTACGTAAATTCATGTACGTGAGTATATTCAACAGTTTATTCCATCATAACTTTTAACTGATTCAATAAATCCTAAGCGATTGTTGAATAAAATAAATTCATTAATTTCATTTTTCACATAAGCGAAGTTTAAAACTTCTCACTAATTGTACTACTTATATCAATAATTTAAAAACAGAACTGCCAAAACCGAACTTAAATGAAAAAAAAACAAGTTGTATTAAGGCATATCGCACTCGGGGTTGGCTTAGATTATGTAATATGAATTTTAACCGAATACCATACGATATAATATAACTTGTCTAAGTAATATAATACAGCTCATTTAGGGATTTTATTTTCTTATTCTTTGTCAGGATTCTCCTGCCCATAAGTTTAATGTAAAACAAGCAGTTAACGAAGCGGGACCGAGTAAATCTGAAATAAATAACAGAGAAGTAACTCAAAGCTCATCAAAGAAGGCCAATCAGAGAGAAAGTTCAGTTGAGTGTACCGAAGATGTGGAAAAGTATAATTGTAAAAGTAATGACGGTGAAGCAAACTTATCCTGTATATTTGACCCCAATAGTAGCAATGGTATGAGATATTTTGAAACCATTTATACATATTCTTAATGAAAAATTCTTGAAAATTCACCACCCCAGGTACTCTGTGATGGGACTCGAACCCAGGACTTTTCACAATCCGTTTAGTCATATTATAATACGTCTTTTCATCTGAAAAAAGTCACTTTGTCATAAATAATAATGATATAGATAATTCGCTAAAAAAAAAAATACAATCTAGTATTAGGGATTAAAGTATGAAATTGCCGTTTTATTGTAATATGTTCCTTGAATTGACATAGAATCTTCATGGTTTAAGGTTTACAAAAGAAACTTTTTGGATTCTATTCTATCCTTGGTTTCTATGATGTTATTCTTTTAACAAAAGTGAAACATTTGAATATCGACTTTCAATTGTTTTTGTTATTCAACTAAGACAAGAAAAATGGATACTGCGAAAATTCTAATTCTAGTTCTAATGGAAACTTCGACTTCAAGAACGAGTCACAAGGAAGACCGCTCACACATGTGAATAACGAGGAATTAAGAGAAATGGTTGAAGCCGATCCTAGTCAAACTAATTAAAGGAATATTGGATCAAATTGTGACGTGTGATGAAAAGTGGATTCTTTATTATAACCGTTTAAGAAAAATGCAATGGCAGATCCCAGATCAAATGCCACAACAGTGTCCTAAACCAAAAATTACCAATAAAAAGGTAATAAGAGTAAAACAGTATTTTCGTCAATCCAATCACATTTGTAGCCAAAGAAGCTCACCGATTAACAATTTAATATATATGAAAAATGAGCCATATTTAACTCCAAGTAGTTTTGTCGTTTAAATATTCATTAATAGTATAATATCCTTTACTGAGTAGACATTTCTTAATATGGGTTTTAAACTTAGGTAATGGTAAATTTAAAATTTCCATAGGAATTTTGTTATAGTAGTGTACACCTTGACCCATAAATGACGATAGAACCTTCTTTAGCCTGCATGACGGCAAAACAAGTTTATCTTTGTTTCTAGTATTATAATTGTGTACATGACTATGTTTAATATAATTGTTAATATTGTTTCTAACATAGAGTATACAATTGTATATGAATTGGGAGGCCACTGTTAATATCCCAATTTCTTTGAATTTATCTCTAAGTGACGTTCTTGAACCCAATTGATAAATGGCCCTTATTGCTCTTTTTTGTAAAATAAATATAGACTCTATATCTGCAGCCATACCCCATATCAGAATGCCATATGACATAACGCTATGGAAATAACTAAAGTATACTGTCCTAGCGGTATCTACATCTGTAAGTTGCCTAATTTTTTTTATTGCAAAGGCAGCTGAACTTAGTTTTCCTGCCAATAATGAAATGTGAGGATGCCATTGCAATTTAGAATCCAGCGTTACACCTAAGAAGATTGTTGAATCAACCAACTCGAGCTTTTCATTATTAAGTTTAATTTCTGTAAGTTCAGCTTTTACATTAGGTAACATAAACTTTATACATTTCGTTTTTTTAACATTTAACTGGAGATTATTTACAGTAAACCAGGTCATAATCTGTGATAGAGCATTGTTTACATCGTCAAAATTATTTTTACATCTATCAATATTAAGTATTAAAGAAGTATCGTCTGCAAACAATACTATATCGCATAAAGTTTCGGCAAAAAATGGCAAATCATTTATGTAAGTTAGAAACAGAAAGGGACCCAGAATAGAGGTAACCGTTTGGTGGTCTCATCATGATGTTATTCACTATAATTTTCTCCGATCTGGTCCAGCAATAATGGCAGATGTCTATTGTGCCGAACTCCGAACAATGTTGGCAAAACTAGCAGTAAAACAGCCTAGTGAATCGATCTTCATCATTGTTGCTCCATGACAACGCGAGACCTCAGCATGAGAAACCGTATTGACCCTTCAGGAACTGCAGTTAGAAACCATTCGTCATCCTCCGCATTTGCCAGACCGTGCTCCAACAGACAACCATTTTTTTTCGTGATTTGGACAATTATAATTATGAGATAATTAATTATCTACGTGAAAAGAAGTTTTCTTCCTAGGAGGCAGTACAAAATGCTTTCACACAGTTTGTGCAATCTAGATCCACAGAGTCCTATCGCAAAGGCATAAATGACTGTCAAAAATTAAAAATAAACAATTTTGATTTAAGTACAAATCGGCATTTTCGTACTTTAAACCCTATTATTATCCAAACTTAAGTTAAATTACCAATAAACAACTATGTTTTTCGAGAGAAAGTAGGTAATTTGCGCTTCGTTTGACTAGTCCATGGACCAAGATATAAGAGTTCTTTTTGTTTTAGATTTAGTTGAATAAGAATTCATGTTTTATGCGTTGTATTAATTCCAATAATTTTTTATTACCCTTCCTAACGTGAAAAAAATATACCGAAATAAACAGTCAGGATTCATAATAAAAAATAAGTACATCTAGGCATCTAGGCATAATGATCATTTCGCAAGACACATCCACCCATATCGCCCAAGCCTCACACTACCGTATGTATGTATGAATGAGCTTCATTCGACAGGAACACTTTTATGCTGCATCCGAGAGGCCGTCTGTAAGATCCGTTTCTTGACGTTGACGGCGCAGGAGTTCGCGAATGGGCCGGCGCTGTCGCCGCTGCTGATGGAGACCGAAGCATTTGCGGTGCTCATGAACATCCTCTCCAGCCAGGCGCTGGTGCCCATGCCAAGGGGTTTCTCCGCGTCCCGCGTGCCTAGAAACCAGGTTTGAGTTATATTATTATATGAATGAACTTCAAGATTAGCACGATGAAAATATATGAACGTTCGTTGCAAAGTTATTAAACACTTAGTTGTAGTTTCTTATCTGGTATCTAATACAGGGGTGGATCTAGGCCTCATAAGGGTTGTGGTCACAGCCACCAGAAAATAGTTTAGACAGAGGATGCACTCCTACGCAAAGGAAACGTTTACTAAAATATATGACGCTATGATCAAGATTACAGTATAGTTAGTATACAGTATAGAGCAATCCACATGATGAGAAGTTCTATCCGAGAGCACGGTACCATTTACAGGACCTCGGTAACAAATTGTTAAACAAATGCTAATTTTAAATAAATACATTCTAACTAGTAGCGTCCAATTCACCTAATCCGGACAAAATAATTTTCGTTGCCCTTAAGACTATATATATATAGTATAGAGAGATATAGACGTGGAATATATGATGTAGTTTGAATCACATAATATGCTATTTTACTAAGACTTCTGAACATTTTTAGAAGACGAGAAGACGTCCCACGCCCCGTATATAGCTTGCTCCACAAATAAAAGTCCATGCGTCACAATCAAATTGGAATTGCTCTATCAATAATTTATTCCACAATAAGAATAAATATGTATCATTTGTAGCACCATTTTTAAATTAGTTTTTTTTTTTATATCGCATTTTTTTTTATTACGGTCAGTTGCACAAACGTCCATCATCATCGGGACTTTTACGTTTCCACTGCAGGGGTTCAGGCCTTTATGGATGGTTAAGGAGGATGGCCCATGACCCTCCACGCTGGCCCAATGCGGATTGGAGGTTATTAACGACTGCAAATGCAGCCGGGATCAACGGCTTAACGTGCTTGCCGAAGCACGGAGTAGCTCAAGATAATAATTTTTTGGTCACCCATCTCGTGACTGAACCTTGTGAAAGTTGCTTAACGACAACGATCGCGTGTCGCACAAACGTCCATTAAGCTTTAATGGCCCCTCTATGCTCTAATGAATGTTAAATTTGTATCGGTAATATCGCTCTAAACTAATGAACATTTTAATGGATGTTTGTGCTTTTGACTGTTAGTATATTTAACTTACATTTTACAGTAACAGTAATAGTATTTTTTTCTTATATTTATTACTTAATCTACTGTTACCAAAACGTTTGTTCGACACCGTGATAGTTTTATAGCTAAAGATTAAAAAGGGAATACGAGAAGAGTGCGCAGGGTAATATCCACATGAAAGATCTGAAACTTTCGCACTCTCTAAATTTATGATACAGATACTATTTCATTAAATTCGTGTTATTTTTACTTTTACATTCACTTTGTTTTACGAAAAACGCCACTTTTGCGAAAGAAAACACTCTGGAAACAATGAAATAGGTAAGATAAGGTAATTAAAACTGCAAATCCTTTACAATGCTCTTATTAATATCTCTTTATAAATAAATCTGTTCATCCAGCTTTTGCCCACGATTTCTCCCGCATTGTCTAGTTTTAAGTGTAGAAATGAGAAAGTTCCATAAACACTTTCATTCCCGAATATACTCCCTTAGGGGACGAATTTAGTAAATAGAACCCATAGGCAAAATTTCAATTTCACAAACTTTCATCCCCTTATTTAGTCCCTTCGGGTTGGAATTTTCAAAAACCTCCTCCTGTAAGTGCTCGTCTACACTCCTTAAGGATGCTTCATTCCAAATTTTAATTTTCTACGCTCACTAGTTTTGACTATAAGTTTTTTTGACAATTATGTGCTTAAACATCAATTTTGGGCACGATATTAGAAAATCTTTATAAATAATATTATATAGATTTATTACAATGAAAAATCAAATGATTGCTATGGTTTTGATTCCCCATAAAACATTTGCTCTCATTGTCATCCCTTTAAGTGCTAATTTTCGGGATAAAATATAACTTATGACCAGAGGTCGGAATTAGGTAGAGTTATTTATGTACTTGCATCGAAATGTTGATATTAATGTGGACCTTCCCGGGATTTCTAATGGACAATCCCGTGTGGCCAACAATCTTACAACTAAATAATAATAACAACGTCAGAGATAGACAAATAAAACAAAGATAATTAACATAAAATTTTTATTAGTTTACATTAATTTACAATACAAATTATTGATAGTCTTAAGCAAATTCTCATACGCATATTTCGCCTTTTTTATAAACACGAGTGAATACTTTTGCTTCTAGCCTAGACTCATAAAAAAAAAATTTATCTCGGGATTTGAGGCATATCTACTTTATTCCTTCGCTATATGAAATCAGTGTAAGTACATGAATAACTCTACCTAATTCCGACCACTGCTTATGACCTTCATAACATATCCAAATAAAAAATTCAAAAACAAAAAAGTTTCATACAAATTTTTACACGCTTTTTGGGTGGAATTTCCAAAAATCTGTTCTTAGTACACCTCTACATACGAGGGTCAAACTGAAAGTTCTTAGAACTGGCCACTTATAAACAATATAATAAAAAAATAATTCTAAAATTTGAAAATATAACTCTTTGCCAATATTACTGAGTATATATTTCATTCATTTGTCATTTGTTTTACGATTTGGCGGCAAATTGAAAATTGTCTGTGTCACGTCATCATGAATTTAACACGAGAAAATTTTCGTGCAATGATTTTTTATGACTTTCGATGTCATTTAAGTCAACAAGAAAGTTATGATAGACTACGATTGGCCTTTCACGATGAAGCCCCATCTCGTGCGACTGTTTACAACTGGTTTAATGAGTTTCAAACGTGGTCGCACTAATCTCACTGATGATTTACGTGAGGGACGGCCTTCTACGGTGACGACTGAAGATAACATCTGTGTTGTGCGGCGTATGATAGAGACTGACAAAAGAGTGACCTATCAACAGATTCGGACAAGCTTAGGCATCGGTATGAGTCAAGTGCACAAAATCCTCCACGAACATTTAGCGGTCAGGAAGCTTTGCGCCCGGTGGATACCTCATAATTTGACTGAGGCTCAAAAACTCCATCGTGTGGATTGGTGTCGTAAAATGATTGAAAGATTTAACGGAGGTGACTCAAATGCTGTGTTCGACATACTAACAGGTGACGAAAGCTGGATTTACTGTTATGATCCTAAAACCAAAAGACAATCTGCTCAGTGGGTGTTTCCTTTCGAGGAGTTGCCAACTAAAGTGAAGAGAGATCGAAGTGCGGGAAAAAAAATGGTGGCCTCGTTCTTTGGAAGGATAGGTCATTTTGCAACAATTGTGTTAGAGGATCAAAAAACAGTTTCTGCAGAATGGTACACTACCAATTGTTTGCCACTTGTCTTGGAAAAAGTTCGAGAGAAACGACCTCGCAGTAGGATCCTCCTTCACCACGACAACGCCTCGTCGCACACCGCCAAGCGAACGATCGACTATTTGGCGACATCAAACGTTGAATTACTGGGTCACCCGCCGTATAGCCCCGACCTCGCGCCTTGTGATTTTTATTTATTTCCAAAAATTAAAGAAAAACTTAAAGGAAAGCGGTTTATGAATGCTGAAGAAGCGGTGGCTGCGTATCGCGATGCCATTGAAGAGACCCCTAAGGACGAGTGGGCAAAGTGCTTTTCCCAGTGGTTCCATCGCATGCAGCGGTGTATTGACGTGAATGGACAATATTTTGAAAAGATATAATAAAACTAATAACTGGCTAATGTAATCAGTTTTTGATTTTCTAAGAACTTTCAGTTTGACCCTCGTATTAAGACGAATATACCCCCAAATTTAAAGTGTCTACGACCAGCGGTTTAGGTTGTACGTTGTCTGTCAATCAATAGTATTAAAAGTAGTAGCTTTTTAAAAGTAGTAGTCCCTGTATCCCTATGTATGCTTAAATCTTTAAAACTACAAAACGGATTTTGATGCGGTTTTTTTCATACATACGGTGACTTAAAAGGAAGGTTTTTATGTATAATACAAGACCACGCGAGCGAAGCCATTGGTGAAAAGCGAGTATATAGATAACCTGAAACTCCTCAATTAATATAATTTTCAGCACCATAATACACAGAAAGCCTATCTGGCGGGGTTTCAGAATATAATATATAAAGTAGATGATTATATAGAATAAACAATTAGTAGTTTTAATTTATTTGTTAAACAACGCCGTTTCTAAAAAATACGTCTATGTTTTGGCCATTTGATCTTATAATGTCTCTTGTGTGTTTTCATATTAAAACATAAGCGGCATTTTGGACCGTCTCCTTTAATAATTAAGAAATTTCTTAATTTAAGTACCTAAATAGAGCATTTTTAACCTCCTAAAAAGTTCCATAAGGAAATACATTAGCGAAGATTTAATATTAAATGGCTCCTATATGTAACTACTAAAACTATTTCGTCATTTTTCCAGCAATATCTACCAACGCCGATTTGTAGAAATGAAGTAATATTCAGGTTCACTGTAATGCACGCCCTGATGCGGAAACGCTCTGTAGAATCACTGCCCTTCTATTTCCTGGACATGCTATGGAGCGTCAAATTGACGCCCCGCATCGAGACTACCACCACTGGACAAATTAACAGATACTTCGCACTTATTCTCAAGTAACTATCTCATTTATTTTAAAATAACTAACCCTATACTTGACAAGATTTCTGTATTGAAATTAATATTTTAAGCCAAAAATTATTGCAGAGCTTTTGTTATAAAAGTCAGCATAAGTCATGTTGAAGTTTGATTTTTTACATAAAACTAAATTATATTTATATCACAGATTTGTTATATATTTATTTATGTAAAGAAAGCGCCTTGTTTGTTGTGCGTTAGATAAATAGGTAGATTGAAGATAATATAATTTTAAAGTTTGGGGAAAAAACCTTTCGCATAAACTTGTAATAAAATCTTTCTAGCTATACCATTCATATCTGGCTGGCTTCGGTATCATTAAAAAATTTAAATTTTCAATAAAGTGTTCCGAATCCAAATTAGAAGAATGTGTGATTTTACAGTTGTTTTTCTTACTGTCCAAAATGAGTTAATCTAATGAAGGAATTCGATACATTTTAATTTTTTATTACAAACTAGCTGTGCCCGCGACTTCGTCTGCGTGGGAAGTATTTTGGTAGAATTCTTTTTTTCCTATGAATGCAGACGAATCGAATAAGATCAATGGGCCATAACCCACTACGCGGGCTTAATGCGTATCGGTGGGTATTAACGTTGCTGATGCAGCCAGGACTAACGCCTTAACGTGCATTATGCCAGTGTTATGCACAGTGCTCAAGATAATAATGTTTTGGTCATCCTGTAAATCCTGTAAACGGTCCTTACGAATGTTATTTTTCATTTTTTTTCTCGTTTCTCGCGCTCTGGTTGTTGCTTGTGTCTGAGCATTTTATTCGTACCTTTAAACGGTCCTTCTTTTGATTATTATTATTTGTCTAGTTGTATGCACAATCGGTTATTTATTGTTCTATTTTTCATGTAATGCTAGTTTGCCTGGAAGAAATCGCCGGGTAGCGATGAGTTTGTCGTTTGTACTTATTTATGTAAAATAAGTATTCATGTATGTCCTTGTTGTGCAGTATTTACTTACTTATTTAACTGCAATTTAAACCGAATGCGCTAACCCACTACGCCATCGGACCCCTTATGCCTAAGCTATACTAATATTATAAAGAGGAAAGATTTAGTTGTTTGTTTGTTTGCATCGAATTTGCTCCAATACTACTGGACCGATAGTTGCAGAGCGATTCCAACATACGGGAAGCTACATCAGACGCAGATGTCATAGGCTATAATTTTGCGGCAAAGTCGTGGGAAAATAGCTAGTTCATTATACCCTGTGAAAACTTATCTGCGGTACGCCTGTGGAGTATGAAGTCAACACGGGTTGGCGATAATCGAATCTACTTTCTAGATCTCTATTGTGCAAACTGCTAGCTCTTTAAGAGACCAAGCGCATTTCCCTATCAAAAGAAGTTTCATACTCATACCATACTGCATGTATGTAAATGCTTCAGATTCAACTTTATAGTGCATGAGCCTCGCGATGGGCAGTTAAATACGCTTCGCGTTTTTAGGTGTCTCCCGAGACCGAGCGCTTTCTGTCTGATCTCTTTCTTTGTCTATAAAAGTCGGTCAGTACATGTCTGACGGAAGATACGTGGAGTTTTATTTATTGATATAAAAAAAATATATACATATTTTAATTTCGACTTTCCACACTCGAAGGAATTCGTCTACTAACATACTTCCGTGAGGTGCTTAACTGAGCTTCTGTCAGATTTGAACGGCCCTCATCATCATCATCATCAGCCCTTTTACGTCACCAACTGCAGGAGCTCAGGCCTTCCTTATGGATGGTAAAAGAAGATGGGCCACGACCCTCCATGCTGGCCCAATGTGGATTGGAGGATATTAACGACTACAAATACAATCGGGACCAATCGCTTTACGTGGTTTCCGAAGCTTGGGGTTGCTTGAGATAATATTTTTTGGTCATCCATCCTGTGCCCGACCTTTGCGAAAGTTGCTTAACAACTACAATCGCGGGCCATGGCGCTTATTCACTACGCCACCGAGCTACTCTGAACCGACCCACAGACTCGCGTAATATTATATGAGTGTTGTGACCTATGAATAAAGCATTGTTTCCAGTGAAGACTGAAAATACCATCTTTGAAGTACGTATCTACAGCAATTTGTATGTTAAAAAAAAGAGTATTAACATAAAAAATAGCAATAAGAGAAAAAATATATATATAACTCGAGTTGTCTTTACATCCTTAACTTCAGTTGACGTGAATCTAAGTTTTTTAACGTCGTGGAAAAACTTCTGATATTGTCTCTGTTAGGTGCCAGGTGGCAAGCAACAGGGGTGAGTAGGATTCTCCTCCGTGAATCCGACAGTGAGCTGCCCGGTGGGTCCCCAGTGGCCTACCCACCAAAACCCGTACTCTACACCTTCTCATGGGAAATGAAAACCGGCAAGCTATGGCCGAGTCACCAGGAGACTCAAGTATTGGACCATTGGTCCCCTTGCAGATGGAAAATTGGAGAGACTCGGGTAAATCGAGTGCCTCTCCCAGACAGACGAAACCGTGCAATGCGGGAGCGGCTGCCAATCACCTCCGCTGGCCCCGACGACGACGTGAACCTAATCTGATAAAAATATGCGTTCACTGTAAACTACTCGAGGCTTAATTGCATCATCGGAAGGCTCTTTCCGCTTGTTCTCCTACTCGCGTGATCGTATACCACATGCCCATTATAAGCTGAACCCTATTTAGTGTCAAAATTTTTGAATCTTATTTTTGATTTGTCATCATACAAATTATCATTTTATAGACAATATTAATTCGTAGCTCGGTGGCTCTACGGATATGCGCCGCTGCGCACGATCGCTATTGCTAAGCAATTTTCGCAAGAGTTGTTCACGGGATGGGTGACCAAAAATTATTAAACAAATGCCTGAGGCCCTGCAGTTTGGCTGTGAAAAAGTTAATGATGATGGTCAATATATCAAATACGAAAGTTTAATAAAACACTAAATATCGAATTTCATAGCAATTTTGGCGACCATGTCACTTCAAATTGACATAACTTTTGTATTTGTGAACCGATTGAAATAAATCTTACACTAAATGTTAACAGAAGAATGCCGCTTAAGTAAATAATAAAAAATTAAGTAAAAAACAATATCTTCATACAAAAATAAAGTTACTTATTAATACTCGTATTATAATATATATTTCAAAAAATGATATGCCACTTTGATTTTGATAGATTACAAAACAGTTTTGGCGCATTCGAAGAAACCTGGGTACACAAAAAAGTTGGATATTTGGGCACCTCACGGAAAGAAACCCAATGAACCGTGTACTTATTTGTGATTCTTTATTATGGTGTAATGAAACCGAACCATTTTTAAAGAAGCTGACAACTGGTTTTGAGAGATGGATCACGTGTAATAAGAATGTGCGTTAAAGGTCGTGGTAAAGGTCGGTCAAGCTTCACAGAAAGTTACGAAATCTGTCTATTGCGACCAACCGACGAGATTCAAGCAAGAAGCTGAGAGAAAACGGCTAGAATTAATCTATAGAAGGGGTGTGGTTTTTCATCATAATAACGCTAAACCTCACACATCTTTTGCCACTTAGTTAAAATTAAGAGAGTTTGGCTGGGAGGTGTCAATGCATCCTTCGTATAGTGACCTTATGATTTCCACCTGTTTCGGTCTCTTAAGATTTTTTGGCAGTGTCAGGTTAACATCACGCGAGGACTGCCAAAACCACTTGTCTTGGTTTTTTTAATCAAAAGCCCCAAAATTTCTAAAGTTACATGTAAATAAACTTTATTAAAAATGTTTTGAATTTTCATGCGAAGAAACTTTTTCCCCAACCTGTCATAACAGTGTACATAAAATAAAAGGTTTATCTACGTTTTTGGAATAGATGCGGTGGGCCGGGATCAACGGCAAAGCTGATGGGCGCTGACTCCAGGTTAGATATGAATTTGGCATTAAGGTTAGGGCCACTACCTTACACACCGCCAGAGCATATCGCAGGGTCAGCGCCCGGGCCAGCTGTACGACCGGCCGCAGGGCCAGCGCCAGGGCCGTCTGCAGGGGCAGCACCGGGGCCGGCTGCGGGGCCAGCGCCAGGCTCGAGCTCAGGGCCAGAACCGGGGCCGAGCAAGGAGCCGGGTGCGTGGTCAGTGAAGATTAGAGCACGAATAGTGCTTGTGCCGTGCGTACCTACAACCACGACTGTTTGCATTGATCAAGCAGGAACCTTTTCTAAGTATGTAACATTCGCTTTTTATTGCATGCCACTGAAACTTCTTAAGCATTATTTTCTGACTTTTAAGTGTACTTATGCAACACACGTCATACCAAATATGTTTTATTGATTATTATTGAATAGTCACAGTTTTATTTGTATCACCACCAGCAAAAGAAGAATGTGGGGTTACAATCGGTTTGTCTCTTGGGACGTAGCGTTGAGTGCATTATTCCTGCACGCTGGCAACTCTATCACCATAGAAAGTTACCTCGGTGAAATCGAAAACAGACCTAAGGAATAACTAGATATACTTACGTATTTTAGCCTATTTATTACTATTGGAAATATTATTATATAATAATGATGTTTACTAAATTTCAGTGATGAATATTAGCAGTATGTATGTAATTGTTTATTTCGTATTAATTTTGGAAAAAATATTTAGAAAATTTATATCTTATTATCATCCTTCTTATGAATATTATTTTATTATTATTGACAAGATAATTTTATTAATATATTTTTACGCTTTTTTATTATTATTCTAAAGGTCAGTGTGACGAAATTACAATATGTAATTAGAAATGAATGCATGAGTTTAAATATGAATTTGGGATTTTCAACCAAATATCAGACATTTCATACCAAAGTGACCAGTTTGACTAAATGCTGAAGCCGAAAAACACGAGCCTGGTGCCACCTTGGGCGGGTGCTTTCACATATAGAACAAAAAAAAAAGAGGTTATGTTATATATTTATAGTAATGGGTACTCTTTGGAAGTCTATGTATTTGAATTTAAATGCCATTGAATAATACATACAATGTATACAACATTTTCATGCACTTACTGCACCGTCCTTTAAATGTTTGAGTGGTAAGTGTCAGTTTGACGTTAACGCATTCACTAGTGAGCGAGCGCGGTCAGAATTTGTACGGAGATTTGTATTTTTGATAGTTAACGCTGTACCGGATTCCATTAAAAATATAATGGGCTAACGATCGACGGTGAACGTAAACGTCAAAGTACTACTAAGCACTCTGATACCACACTTTTTTTTATACGTAGTCATCGTCGTGAAAGTGTTGTGAACAAATGATGCTAATATTATCTTGGTCGATATTCAGCCTTTATGATCTGTAATAGCAATAAACTTTTCATTCACCAGGTTCGTTAGGAAAATTGGAACATAACACAACAAATTCAAATTGAAAATATTTCTTTTTTATTGATAATTTGCTATATTTTTTCCCAATCTAATAAAATAGTAAACTCAAGAATTTTTCCTACTTTTTTATGTTAAGAAATCCTCCCTTTAGACACATTTGGCACTTTGATTCTTGCCTAGCAAATAATAATCTCGCAAGTTGTAATTTTTCTTATATTATATGAGGAGCCGATGTTCTTGAATCAAAGGAATCGCATGTTTTAATATTAATATGAGTATCTCGCTCCTAATTCTGACGCGCCTACCACACCCACAAGGCTGTTCTAACTTCAGAATATGAGATTCTAACGGATAATGTAATGAGTAACAATCAGTAAACTATCCATGCTGGGTTGGGCGGGCTAAATGTAATTCCGGCTTTAAGTAACAAGCTAATATTTATAAGGAGGAATGTTACCCTAACTAATAAGGTATAAGAATTATGTAATAAAAAGTCATTTTAAAAATGTAACTCATTGTTTCAATTATTAAACGTAATCAATGACTATCATAATGAATACATGTTGGTACCTTAATTTAATTGTCATCTATACAAAGTGATAGAGATCAGATTTCCAATACTTAGGCTAACATTGATTTATGATGGAAAATAAGATTTAAATACAAAATCTATTACAACACTCACCGTACAGCTTATTGCAAAGAAGATAAAGCGATATGTTAAGGGTTTGGAAAGAACAGAAATATTAATGAAATACATAGAAATTATCCAGTATTCAACTAAATCAAAAGGTTTTGTATAATATTTTAGTTTAAATTTAGCATTTTCATAAATTTGGTTTGTATGGTTAAAAATTAGCATTTATAATACCTATAAAATAAAAACGGTGAAATCTCGTAGTAGCTATACAAGTATTTGTTGATTGTCACATAATATGTGGATATCATTAAATTATACAAAACAGGTTTTCTTCAATATAACTTTAGTGTTGAAAATCCGATCTGTAAGTTTATTTTAAGATTTATCGTTCTTAGATTTAAGTTTAGACAGGCCTCAAATAAACTGGTTGACATTCAATCAAGAGTTATGTGATTCTGTTTCAAAATAAAAACTTTTTTAAAATTGTATGTTAATTACAAACTGAAATAATTAACCAATAATAGAAATAGAAGTGAACCAATTAGTTTTGTCTCCCAGTATATTTGGACACATTGAAGATGTCGAAATGAGATGTAAAGCGAACAAATATATTATTGGAACAGCCGAAGTGCAATAAATTAATACAACTATTGATTGTTTTGGGAGAATTAAAATTTAGTGTTAACTTAATCACCTAGATCAATTGTCTTATGAATTTTAAAGAATAATTTTATTCTTTGTACTTGACTTCTTTTTGAACAGTATTTTATCTTGTAATTTCAAAAATTCTGTTTTCTTCTTCAATAAAATTTATTTTATTGTTCCGATTGAAAAAGCAATATTTGTGTCGCAATTAATGTTTTACTAGTGTAAATATATTAAGCTTAATATACCACAAACTTAACATTATTATTATTACTAGTCAATGTTATCATACTGTGCGTTATTATTATATGTGGGATTTATAAAATATTTGTAAATGATAATGACTGAGTATTCAATCAATCAAATCAACACAAGATTTATTATTGATAGACAGGTACATTTCAGTACGATTTATATTAACACGTAATTCCAATATTGTACAATTACAGGTATTTGTATTTCTTAATAGTAATTATTAAAATTATTAATACAAATTTTAACGTATTTATTTAAAAATTCCTATAGATTCCCGAAATTTTAAATATAATCTAGAATAGGCTTTCAAATTAATCCAGATTAGATTTATTTTATCTTCGATTAAGTTAAATTTTAGCAGTGGTTAAGGTTTACGTATGATTAAGTTAAGGAGTATCTATACCTAGTTAATATTACTATTGAGACCATGCGTTACATACGTTCTCGATAATACTATAACGACGAAAATTAAAAAGTAATAAAACATGAAAAATTTTAATTTCTCATACAAATTCTAGCCAGAGCTAGAAAACTGTTTTATTTATTAAATAATTTTTGTTTATTATCTTAATATTTTTTCAAACATTTAGGCTTAGGCAAGGTTTAGGTATTTCATTTACCAACAGCATTAGTGTATGATTTTTTTACTAGACTTTGAAAATATGTATGTCCTATTGTAGCCGCCAAAAAGCTTATAACTTCTTGGCAAGCGCTATTCGCAGTAACGTGTATCCTGACACTGATGACCGGGTAAATGGCCCTGCTTAGCCCCCTCTAGATTCGGCCCTGGCTCACAGGACAAAGTATAATAGATAGAGTAGGTTCACCTTAATTATCAATATTTTACTCGATACCAGTATCGTATTAAAAACGTGACGACGCAATGAGACATGTTATGAAATGTTTTTCCCGTCTCCGACCGTTATTGTGATCGTCCGATCCGATCGTGTACTCCAGCTCTCATTATATTAGTGATAAAGTGTTTAAATTATTTATATTATAGATAGGGTAGGTTCACCTTAATTATCAATATTTTACTCGATACCAGTATCGTATTAAAAGTAATACAGTCGAATCCCGATTATCAAACCTCGATTATCCGGATATCCGATTATCTCGAGCCACTAATCTCAGCTTTAATTGTTCACTTAAAAACGTGACGACGCAATGAGACGTGTTATGAAATGTTTTTTCCCGTCTCCGACCGTTATTGTGATCGTTCGATCCGATCGTGTACCCCAGCTCTCATTATATTAGTGATAAAGTGTTTAAATTATTTATATTTTTTGATAGCGTTCAAGTGACAGGTTGTTATTTCGGGCTCAAACGTGTACCATCTCACGTAAAAGTTTTTAAATCTTTAGACGTTGCTTGACAATGACGAAAGACATGACGAAACGTATCCGATAAAGTTGTTATAAGTTGTGATTCATTACACCAAAGCAAAGATCAATCACGTTTTATTTCCATTCTAAATTATAAGTTACATAGTTATTTATTTGATTCATTATCGATATAGCTCGTTTTTTTATATATCATATCACCTAAGCGATGACGAATGGAATAGTAACACATATCATAATAAAAATGTATTACATTTTAATATTGTTTGATTTGACTTTGATATCGTTTATCCAGATTTTCGATTTTACGAAATACTTTTTCTGGATATTATTGCAGTAGAATCCTGATTATCCGGAAATTTTTTCGATTTTTTCAGGATTCTACTGCAATAATAAAAAAGTGTCGATATAAAAGTATCGATATACGAAGGTAGGGTATATAGGGTGTACTTTCTAGTGACAGACATATTTTACGTAAATGTATTAAATCAACAAGAGTTGCAACCGGCAGGTCCCTCTGTAAATGGTATACCCTCAATGGCATTCTAGTTATTTATAACTGTTCTTTCCTACCTTACGCGCCATTCGAGGATTGCAACACGGGTGGCAAGAGCTTCGACAAAAATACCTGCTTGTAGCGTATTTTAATGTAAAATGAGATCACGATCATTCAAATCGAAATGGATAATTATTTTTATATTCAATTATATAATATATTCGAAAAAAAACAATTACTGTGCCTCTTTAAGTGTTTCTGTTATATTACACAAAAGCTTACTGTGGGGTAATTTATGAAATCGACTGACATTTATTATTTTATGAAACTATGATGAATTTTGACGAGGAAGCGTTATAATGTATGTATTTTAAATACATTACTGTTGATGATAATTATTATTATTGATAATACAGTAGTTTAGATATCTGTTTTAGATTTATCTGTTTGAGTTTTGATTTCTTAATATTATTGGTATACTAGAGGTATGAAGATACTGAAAGTATACAAGGGTTTTTTTCAGTTCACAAAGAAAGTGTGTATTTAAACCAGATTGATTATGAGAAGACTGCGAAGAAGGGCTGTGCAGTGTTGAGCATAGGAACCTATGAGATGTAGATGTAAGATGTTTAAGATTGTCACGAGATACAGCTAGATGATTATAAGAAAAACAAATGAAAATCACACATTTTCCTAATTTGAATTCGAAATCTTTATAATTTTAACTTTTTAATGATACCGAAACCAGGCATATA